ATCTTTTTTTTTTTTTTTTTGATAATTTCTTTCACATGACCTTAAAATTTATATGATATTTGATGCTTTCTCTTTACAATGCTTTTCTAAATTATTATATTTGCTCTTAGACCTTAGTTATTTTTCTTATGCTCTATGGACGTGCACAATATAATTGGAATGCCAAAATACTGATAAATCAGAAATTTATTTTGGATCTGCATCTACGTTGTTTGGCTAAATATGGTTTTTACTCATGGCACTACAAAACTTCCAATGTATTAGGGATCGAGAGTGATATAATCTTTTCAATTATTCATTTCCTCTCAATGGTGTGATTGTGGAGAAATGGTTGAATATTAGTCTAAAAATGATTTAAGTTTATGTGCGTTCCCCAGAACCAGAAACTCACCTGTAGGCTCCTCGTGTAAGTTGTTTTCACTACTCTCTGAAGTATGTCCATTGGCGTCCTTAAAACTCTTGGATGAACTCTTTAGCCTTTGAAGTCCTTAATTCATTGTTTTAAACAATAGTATTCCATATTGTGTAACTAGTGATGGCTGTGCTATTTGTGCATAGAGCATTCAAGCCCATTTTTATATACATTCCCTTTAAAATTTGTTTTAAGGTGGAATTTCACAGATTGCCTTTTATTAATTTACTTGTAAAATGCAACCTCTGACTTGGATGAGTTTTTTTCTTAAATTATAGTGGGACCTTTGATCATCAGAATGTCCCGACTAAAAGGTTTACACAAACAGATATTTTTTGAGAACTAAACAATGAGGTCTTCTAGAAATCTGTTTACCATGATATCATAAACTACAATCGATAAAAGCTATGCTGAAACTTCAACTGTCAGAATTGAGATAGTACATTTGGTGATCCAATGCATGCATGAGATCTTTGATTTGTGTATATGCACACACATTCTACGAGATATTCTCCTAGTTGCTTTCCCTTGTAATCTGCAATATCATTTTTTAAATGATATTATTAGTTGATGCAAACTTATGACAATTGATTTTCTTTAATTTCTTTCTAAAATTCTCCATTTTTTGCTTGTGCACCCGTGAAAATGCAGTTACTATGTATTTTTGGAGGCTAAGAATCAGAATGTTATTTAAATTGGATTTAGGTTTTGAAGAATACTATTTTTTAAGTGGTAATTGGATTCTGCCACATATTGAGCACTTGTAAATTCATTGGATCAGGGTTGAAGTCGTTGCATCAAGTAATACTGTTTGCAATTAATATTATAAGAAATGCATTGCATTAATTATTTATTCTTTTATGCAGATGGTGTATTTGGAGCAATGATGAAAGTGAGATTTCATAACTTGGAATTTGTGTTCTTTCTTTCCTATTGTAATTTTTTTAGGGATAATTGTCTTTTAACTCCTGTTTTTTCCCCTTCTCGTGGATTGAAGGTTAACTTGGTTAATGATGGTCCAGTGACAATGCAGCTTGACTCGGCACAATCATCCAGGTGAGTGTGGACCATTCATAATGAGCTCAAGGGCTGCCGTGCCCATATGTGGGCTGTCCACCTGTAAAGGTAGTCTAGTCCCGTGGTCCATGCAGGCCTCTATATAAAAAAGACTAAGTTGAGGTCTCTGCAAAAGGTTGCAGAGAACCATACTCCACTGTCTTGGAATAATTAATCAAAACTAACGAATGATGGTCCCAGTGTCTGGCCTGGTTCAGCACATCCCAGGCTTGGAAAAGCATGACTCAGCCCCCACAGGCCGTGCCTGCAGGCTGAACCAGGACTCATGTTTTTCTGGTGCGCCTAGCACGGCCCTATTTACCACACACTAAAATGTTTGACGGCCCACACACAGTAATCAAAACTTGTGTATGTACTGATGAATAGTAATCACCGTCCACAAATTTTTTCACACTACCAAAAAATGTGACATTCACATAGTAAGTATCGATGTATTTATGATATTACTTCAGGAACGCCAACAGCGCAGTGGAAGCACCATAACTTTGTGGTGATTATGAAGGTCTAGTTGACTTAAAACAAGAACTTAGGGGAAGCCGAGAAAGAGGTGAACCTGAGAATAGCAGTAAGATTAGAACTTGATCCAATGTAATATGTTAGAATCCAGTTACCGAATGAAGAAAGAGTTCTTTGTACCTGTGATTTCATGCGGAATTATGTACTGATAGTTTCTCATATTCCTATTCGAGTAAAAATTGACGAGTAATTATGAACATTTTTTCCCTCTTGAAATTTCATGTAAAATCATATCCTTGTGACACGTTTGGCAAACATCACTAAAAAAGGATAAGGACACGTCCTTGGCACGATGGATTGGAAAGAACAACTCTGTTACGACTGTTTCTTATTTAATTCTGTGTGCACGTACTTGATTTTTTCTTTTCTGCAATAACTTGCATAAACATTTGGAATAACACGCAGATTCAAAATTCGTGTAGAAGACGCAAGTGTGTGCAACAGTTCCTGGAAACTTAAAATTAGGGTCAAGACGTAGCTTTTTAAGAATTAAAAATTTAGACAGTGAGGAAATTAATACTTACAAACTTCGTCTTGTAATGTCTCTCTTTTAAGTCAACATTGTCGCACCATTATAGATCGTCGACTCGTGTGCGTGCTAGCTCGCCTCATGCTTGCATTTTAGTTAAAAATTGCAATTTTTTACTTTAAAAAAAAATAGAGGGAAAATTAGGTGAGTTGCAAGTAGCTTGCAAGCCCATTCGACTCCATCAAGAGGCGAACTTGTGTGGAGAGCCAAGTCCAACTTTGTTTAGGTGAGTTGGTCCATGCTTGGCCCACTCTACGTGTCAGCGCAAGTCAGCTCGTCCCATTTTAGCACCTTTAGCTGAGCTCGATGCTTTGATCCTTGATCTTTTATTTTGAATAAGTTGCAAACCAATGACTCGAAAACTCAATCCGAAAAAGTCAAAACCAAATCTTGATATTGCAAGTTTTAAAGCGTATCGAGTTAATTGCAGTTTCTTGCAACAATTACTTTATTTCTCTTCTCCAATACATTGAATCCTAATCATTTGTTTGCTTAAGAAATCAACTCTTAATTTTCTTCTAATTTTATATTATGAATCAGCGTGTGGTTTGTATTTTAAATTCCTATTTAGTTTGAAACCATCTCCAATTTTGATTAATATCTTAAAATTGAAGCAATGCCATGCTTGGATTTAAAGTAAACCCGTTCGTGTTTTAACACCATCTGGTTTTGACTCATATTATCTAAACTGTATATACGTAACACTATTGAATTTTGAGCGCCGCTCGTTTATGAAAATTTCACGTTACTTATTTGGAGGCGTTTGATGAATATTATTGAGGACAAAATGTATTTTACATAGTGATATGAGAAATATGTGGTTAAAAAGTAAGGAAAAATTACTGATGTGATGAAAAATATTATTTTATTGAAGAATGTATCGTTGAAAATGAGTTTTGAAAGAATGTGTTTCGGATAAGGAATTAATCAAATTCAGGTGGCATGTAAGTTGAATACAGAACACGAATGGATAAATTCTTCCTCGATCTAACATCTAAAACTTTGAAACTACGCTGTTTAAGATGTTCCGCGCGGAATTTTGACTAAATTTAAGCTGTCTTGAGGTCTGCATTCACATCACACCGTTAAATAAGGATAATTATACAGAGGATTTTCAATTTAATAAAGGATAAACATCGCTTTTTCATGGGTTAACACTAATAAATAATTAGCGTACAGAGAACGTTCACCCACAGGATGATTAAAATAAAAAGCCAATTAATTTTCTTAATGTTTACAACCTAGTATCATCCTAGAAGTTTGCTAATCATAGCGTAAACTGCAAGTTTTCTTACTGGCATCTGTTAGGACCAAATAGCAGGCAATAAATATAGGCATAATACTCCATTAGACCAACCTTTCTAATTTCTGCTATTCTCGACTGCAGATCGACCTAACATATCTGTAAGTTTATAGAAGGCCATAATATCCCTGGTACATATAAAGAATTTTAGGGAGGGTTTTGGTGGGAGAGAGAGCTGTGAGAAAAAACTTGTACTTTTGGGAATAGGGTTTAATCCTTAACGAGGTAGTATGGCCATAGAAAGGGAGCATAGCGTACCATCCGAAGCGATTCTTGAGAATGTGTGGGCTAATTTCATTGCTGAGAAGGGAACTGATAATGCACAAAAGGAGACAGTTGGATCATGTGATCCATGGCGAGATTTACCTAATCTTGATGGATCAATGGAGAACTTGTTAGAGAGGCTGCCAAGTTTAGGCAGGTGGATGTCAATGGGAGCCGAGGCATGGGAGGAGCTTCTTGATGAAACGATTCTCTCAAAAAGTACGGAGAATTCTTCAAATAATGTTGGTTCAGACAGAAATAGTACTAATCATTCGAATCAAGTACAATCTAATACTACGAAAGTCGAGAAGAAGGTGATTGCCAGGCACTACAGAGGGGTGAGGAGGCGACCATGGGGAAAGTACGCGGCAGAAATAAGAGATTCATCAAGAAAGGGAGCTAGAGTTTGGCTTGGAACTTTTGAAACAGCTGAAGAAGCAGCAATGGCTTATGATAAGGCTGCTTTAAGAATTAGAGGCCCCAAGGCATACCAAAATTTTCCACTTGAAATAGTGGGTATGGCTTCTTGTGATCAAACAATAGATTCCACTGATACTTTTCTGGCTAAGGATTCCTATGATCAAAACAATATGAATTTTTCATCATCTTCCTGGCCAATAGATTCAACGGATACTTTTCCGGGGTGTTCTGATACACAGAAAAGGAAGTGGGGGACGGAATTGGATTCGTTTAACTGTGAACAACCAGCACAAAAGAGAATGATAAGCAGTTGGGAAAATGAGATGTTTATGAGTAATATTGATGTGTTAGAGTTTCAAGACCTTGGAAATGAGTATTTGGAGAGTTTACTGTCCAGTTTATGAACAAAATATAGTGCATTTCTTAGTCATCAGCTCTTGTAAATTGTTTGTCTTCACAATATTTGTGACTTTGTGTGATTGTGCCATGTAAGGTTTTTGTTCCGGTACGTCTAAATTCATTGAATGGAATAACCAAAAAAACTTACATAATCGACCATATATTTCTTAGTAATGAAAGTTTATTCGTTGTATTATACACAATAATTTTCCTCAGACTTGTCAAGTTTTCTCGGGGGATGCTTCTAAATAGACGACGAAATAGAATTTTCATGAACTCACCCCTCTGTGAACTCTGATAGCAGGAGATGCATTCGGGTACATACACAATTATGTTGACGAGGGAATGGATATCCCAGACATAGGATGCGGACAAATAATGGCGAGGGATAGTGTTCATGAAAGTAACACGAGCCATCAAAAATACATGAAGGCAAAAATTATGATGATGCATATTAGAAAAATTCATTAACACAAATCATGTATCAGACATGAAACTATTTAAATTCTTTTGTAGACTATATACACATAAATTGCATAAGAAGGTTTTGCCATAAAGCACTTCATGATTAATATTTTTTGACAGAAAAACATTTAAATCCAGCTCACCTGCCTTCTTCTCATGGAAAATGCTTTGATTTTGTAAACAATTAAATATTTTCCATGAAGTATGCATAATGAAATTAATATGGCCATTGTACTTTCTTTGCAACTATGACCATGGAAAATTGGAATAAATGCAGAGGTCAACATAAGTAGAAATAGCTTGGAAAAGAAATTCAGGGTGAAAAGTAAATTTTTTTTTCTTAACCCAAAATAAGTAGAAGTGAAATTAATGCCAACATCCATTTTTGTTGTAGACAAATAGATGGAAACAATAGAAGAAAAGCAATGACAGAGGAAAAATGAGATAATAATTGAACTTGCACAGCATGTTCGGTATACTATATCAACGATTAGATAGAATATCTGATATCGCTTGCCCACCTCCTTTAATTACGTATGCATATATATATATATATATATATTTTTCCAGAACCGCTCCAAGTCTTGCTTCGGTTAATATGGTTCTAGTTCAAAGTGAATTGGTTTCGGATATTAGAATTGAGAATTAGTGAGTTATTCTACAATTTCCATTCCAGCTATGTATCCGAGTAAGGTCATATTGAGTCTAACATGCACATGATCCATGAGATTTAAGAAGCAAAGAAATAATTTTCAATGCGCTGAAGAAAGAGTATAGCTGAATTGTGTCAATCTCCATTTTGTTGCAGACAAAAGAAAAGGCAATGAAACAGGAAAAAAATGACATAATTGAATAACTTGCAGTGTTTGCACACGTTGGATGAGGTATAAAGCACTGGCATAGAAATGAGCAATTTCAAAATCATAAATCATGTTTGATAAAAATAAGTACCTGAAAATTAAATTTAACAGATAATTTTGAAACCGGCTTACTCCTAAAAGAACATCGAAGATGACCATGAGAGAGAGCCAACTAAACGTCTGTTGATGGTCAAGATTACGTCCTCCTCCAAACTTCGTAAAAAAATCATCGCTCCCCAAAACCCTAGGCCCCTTTCTTCGGTTTTCCACTTTCTATTTATTAAATATATAAAACCACTACAAGTGACATGTATTATTAATACTAAGATAAAATATACATAGTAGGAGGTTCAGCCTAACCTCCAAGACATGACTATAATGTAAGAGCTAAATAAAAACTACCCATCTTTCTTCTTGAACATACTCCTTGTCATCATGTATCGAGTGAAGCATTTCTCTTACTCATGCTCAAGCTTAATCTTTGTAACAAAATTTTAAGTTCTTTTTCTCCGTTAATACTCAGTCCCTTTTAGGTTTGTTAAAAATCAGATTTTTAATAAATTTTGATAAAAATTAATGAAACGTGTTGATAAAAGTTGTGGGTTTCGTAAAATTTGTGGTTAAAATTAATTATTGATTTTGACTTAAATTTGTATTAACTTTTTGGGCTAGGAAAAAGGAAACCCTTCTCTCCACATAGAAAACTGCAAAAATAATGTGTAAACAAAGACACAAACTGAGTAACCCGTTTTGTTGCCACAGCAAGTCCTTCTTTCATTGTGCGTTTTGCTTCTCTTCCGGGGGAATTTGCTCGTACTATGAGGAAGGGTATGGGCTTGTGCATGTACGTAATCTCTGCCACATTCACTTTATATTTTGCTTTAAATATTTATTATTTTCTGCTACTTTTTCCAAATTTTTATTATTTTATTTATTGATAATTTATGAAGTGAAAACAGGAGCAGCAGGTGGGGGTCTATAAGAAGGGATCCACACAGGCAGTGATTTTCATTGAAAAGCTAGCAACAAATTTAAGGTTGTTTTTGCCCTTTGTTTTTCTCTTACGTTTTCAGCTTCAATTTGTGTCATTTCAACATCATGGCTTCATCAAATAGAAATTGGCCTAGCATGTTCAAGTCCAAACCCAAATGGCAGCATGAAAATATGAACTCCTCTCTCATATCAACTGGTTGCCATAGAACCCCAAACACATCAGGTAATTAATTCCACAGAATTTTGTTAGATAAAATTTCGGTTTTCTTACTTGTTTCTGCGTTTATTTCCGACTTCACTTCTCGAAGTTCACCGTTTTTATAGAGATAAACACACTTTCTGAACTTGAAATGAAGTAGCTTTGGCGGCTTAAAACCGGCTTGAATGTTCAATAATTAAATACTACATCAATCATGCATGCACGGGCTTTGATGTAAACTCTTTTGTACAAATATAAGAATTAAGAAAGGTAAATTAATCCTTTGTTAGGAAGGTAATTTGCATGAGAGTCCTATTATTCATTGCAGTATTTCTGTGTCGAATTGTTTATAGTTTCTAACATTGGATAATTCCACAGTGCCCGGATATGAAGAAAGAACTCCTGAACCTAAGCCAAGATGGAACCCGAGACCCGAGCAAATCCGTTTGCTGGAAGCTATTTTCAACTCAGGAATGGTGAATCCTCCAAGAGATGAAATAAGGAAAATTAGGGCTCAATTGGAACAGTATGGCCAAGTTGGAGATGCCAATGTGTTCTATTGGTTTCAGAATAGAAAATCAAGAAGCAAACAAAAGAACAGACAACTCCACAAAACCAAGTCACAAACTCACCACACGCCGCCCATCACCACTACCACCATGGCCGCCACCGCTTCAATTTCAACACCGTCCGATAAATCGTCTCTGAATAATTCAACCGAAAAGGCGATCTTCTCAGCTGGATATACTGCTTTGATGGAAGTATCCAATTCTACAACTGGTTCAGCCAACCAGTCAATTTTCCAAACGCCTAGCGAGTTCGGGATAGAGCCCTATTTTTTTCCGATGCAACAAAGCCCATCAAGTGCTGCTTTTACAGAAGGGTTTTGCTTTCCAGATGTATCTGACCATATTACAGATCATGCGGATGTAAATTGTTGCTCAAGTCTCTTACTCAGTGAAATGATGCTGATGAATCATGAGCCTTCCAAAAAAGCTATTCAGAATGATCATGAGAATATGAAACTGCTGCAACAACTGAGTAACAATGTAACTACAGCACCAAATTCTACACATTCCGTTAAAGCTTTTCCTCCTACTCTTTGTTTTCCATCCCCAATGAATCACATTCAAGGTATTTCCCTTTTTTTTAAGATAAAAAAATTAAGGTTATGTTTTCCAAGACACTAACTTTTATGCCATCCGTTACAAAAGTTTTTGATAATAAAGCAAGTATTATACCATTTAATATAGATCTTCGTGCAAACACAGCTAAAGAAGAAAATTTCTGAACAGAAAACAAGAACGAAATTCGTTTATGTTCATACCAAATTTCAGCATCAAATAAGTTCACAAATTACGTTACGACTTGTTTGTTGAGGAAGATAGTGTAGCATTTGACTTTATATTACGTTAAAATCTTATACATTATACTGTTCACTACTGCATATCGTAGGTGGAAACAAACAAGCATATATGGATTTGTCTATTGCCCGAAAATTGTGTTCTATGTCCCTTAGAACCTATGCACGTATTGACTTCTACATTGTTTCCTTCTGTGATGAACGCTACACAATACATAAGCAATGTATTTAAATTTCCCATTTGGAGTGCAAGAAAGACGTATATATGGGGAGGGGATTATGATCTGATGTGTGATGGTGCAGGTGTAGGGGAATCAGGAGGAGGGGGTCCCACAAAATCAACGGTGTTCATCGATGATGTGTGCTTTGAGGTTGCAGTGGAAGAATTATTCAATGTTAGGGAGGCATTTGGTGATGATGCAGTGCTTGTACACTCATCTGGTCAACCTGTTTTGACCAATGAATGGGGGGTTGCACTTCAGCCCCTTCAGCATGGGGCCTTTTACTACTTGGTTAGGGCTTTCACTCCATCATCTGCAGATGAGAGAACTATTGAATTGGTATTTCATCATCACTAATTAATATTTTTGACTTTTTAATAATAGGGATGTACAACACGATCTGAACATGCCACAGAACCCTAGCTAGAGTCGAGCTCAGAACAGTCTAACTGTAGGGTGCAACTAGGTTTTCTTTTTCACAGACCTCGTGTTGTCTTTTATTTTCTTTTATGACATCCAGGCGTGGCACGATCGTGCCACAAGCCCCTATAATGGAACCTTTCGACTGAAGGGACAACGTGGTCAGGTTGGGCCTCATTTTCAGCACATTTTAACACCTCTACCTTTAAATTTTAACGTAATAATTATTTATATGGCTTCAAGAAGCAATACAGTTAATGACTTTTACCTTTGTTTTTTTCATGCACACAGATTGAGAAGTGTTGATGGAAGAGAAGGATTGCTAATTTTAGTTTTTGCTTGTTTTCAATTCATCTCTCTTCGTATTGTACGTAGTTTCTAGTAATTGTAAGCTTTGTAAAACATGCACTGGTAGCTTTAGGAGAAGTAACGATGAAGCTATATGTCTGTACTTTGTTTTAATGAAACCAACAAGTCTACATGGAAAATATGTTATTTACATTTTCTTGCTTCGTTCACGTTTTGTGCTCAAAGCTAGGACCGGAACTGACCAAAACCTATTCTCGTCTGGACCTGTTGAATTCCGTTAATATGTTGAGTTCTTTTAAAAAGTGAAAAATTGCTTCTATAAGTTGCTTTTGAATTCATTTTGATAATTTTTTAAGAGTGCTGAATTTTTAGAAGAAACTAACCTAAAATAATTTCGTGAGAAAATTCTTCTACAAGATGCAAAAACATTGCCAAACAGACACTAACAATTAAAACCTCCATAGAGCATTGTTCTATATTCTATGAATTTCAAATACACGTTAACATGTTAAGATAAAGAGGTACGCATGAGTAGTAACAATTGCCAATCTAAGAATATAACTTACACTTCGGGAGTGGAGAACCGACGATGGCCGGTTGAACTTTCCTCTTCCCTTTTTCCGTATTCGAACCCCAAAGTATTATTCACTCACCTATTATTTTATCTATTCATATGCAATGAGACTCAACGGAATGTATAATTAAAAAGTAGATAAAATAATAAAAATAAAATTTGATCCACTTATAAGCAATAATAAGCTTTGTGAAACATACACTATAATTTAATTTGATAGAACTTTACAAAAACAAAAATCTTAAATCTGTTTCTGGTTGTATACTTAGGCATCCACAATCAACCGGTTGATTTCGTTCATGAACAGATTGCATATTTTGATGTGCTTCCTCATGGATTATTTAGTTCCCCTATTCAGCAGCTAATTCTCATGATCGTGAATAAGAAACCGAAAAAGCCACGTAAATCTTCTCGTACAATGGCTTGGATGGGAAACAACAGGCATCGATGATGAAAATTCCTGTTCAAAAGTATTACCTGAATTCGCATAATTGCTTGTTCTATTATCCATCAACTTCTCCAGCAATGTCAATGGGCCGGATGAATGCAAAATAGGAATCGGGATTCACTGACATCAACAGTTCCAATACAATCACCTCACTTGGATTGCTGACCTTGAGACCCGGTTCTAGTAAGCCTGCACGAAAGTGTGCTCAAGAGCAAGTAAACAACTGAGCATTATGCAAAACAGCAATTAGTTGAGATGAAATATTCACCTGGAGAAAGATTTTTTCCACCATAAAGCTCATTGGCTAACGGGTTTGCTGCCCAATGATTAACTGCAACGCGACTAGTAGGTTGAAATCCTACAATACTCCCATCAGATGACAACACCACCTGCTCAGTACGAAGAAGAAAGCAAATCAAAAAATAAGATCACATACTAGTATCTTGCTTCAAAATTCTAGAGAAGATATACAGCATGGTAATGTCAAGAATAAGAAGAGAGAAAATTGTTTCCCATCAACAAAGGAGAAGAGATGGTCCATCAACTAGTACCTCAATATCAACAGCAATGTGTCATATAACAATTTTAGGCCAATGTCTATTTATAACTACACGTTGAATTCTTCCAAAACTGGGGTTTGAAAACTTGTTCCCGACCCAAACAACTGGGATATTTTGCAAAGGGGTTAATGCCCATAAATATGTAGTATGAATCAGCTCCATACCACATGACCAGAGGTCCAGAACACATTCTGCTCAGTCTTTATCAACCCCCACCAACCCAATAAAATGAAAGTAAAACATTAACAAAAGAATAAGAAAAACAAATCAAACCCTGGAGTATAAATAATATAGAAAATATGTACTAACTAGTTGACGCAGTAGCTTTTAAACGAGAAACAATTTAGAAGTTATTTGCTAAGCTTCTGAAATCCCCTACATGGGAGCCAATACAAATCATGAGCCTCTAATGGAGATGATCGACGTGAAAATTGAGTAATACATGCTCCCATAAACCTATAGTAGCTACCATTCCATCTTTTAACCATTTATTTAGGCACTGGCCAATCATATGCATACGTACTGGTATGAAAATATATCTGGGCATCTTAAAGCAAACTATTATTTAGCATCGACAATTTCCTTTCACATCATCCAAGGTCACTTAGATCATAATTTAAGAAATGGAGGAATTGGAATGCACAGAGTTTTAGCAATACTACCTGATAACTAGCAATATCTTGCAAGGATGCTTTAGCCTCTTCATCAGTTGCTTCTGACAATTGAGAAGTGGATAAAATAGTGGAGTCAATATCGTCCATCTTCCTCAGATATATTGGGAGTTCTCCAGTCCATGCACAACGACGAGAGTTCATCACAATTTCACCAGGCCAACCGAAAGAATCCTTGATTCTTCTAATTACTGAGACACAGTGAGCTTCCAACTAGTAATAAAAAGAAAAATCAGAAATACGCTAGAAAGGCAATCCAAAAACATGGCATCATACACAGTTTCATTCATGTGGCCAATCTGGACACCAACTAAACATCAAAAATTGTTTCGCATACTTCGAGATGAACGCAGGACATTGACCCATTTAGAAGAATGACTATTATCAGCAATCGATCCTAAATCTTCAACGTGAGGAATAAAATATCAAAGTTTATTGAAGAAATTGACATTCCGTCGGTTTAATTAATTCTTGGTTCCCATGCACTATAGTCACTAAAGCACTGAAATATAATGCAGAACAAAAAAAGGAAGTCAATGACAGAAATAATGATGCCTGAAGTACAATCAGTTAACACATATAATACTGCTATATTCTCCGTACCTTACGAGAGTCCATAGACTGATACTGAACACTGCGAATATGAGATGATTGAGTTGGACAATTTTCCTGAATAAACCTCTTTCCACTAGGCAGATAAGGCAGACAAAATTTACTGAAAATACTGATGGAAACGAGGAAAATCCCACTAGCAAGAGCAATGGAGAACATCTTCAACAGAGAACTGCCCTGTAACAAAGAGAGCAATCTGCATGATACACTAGAAAATATATTAAGTGAAAGATGAAAATGAATATGATAGCGAACACATTTAAGAATCCAAATTGATGTATAAAGAGGAAAAAGATTCCTATAAGATTGAGAGACAGGGAGTTGTATATGATTTCAATTTATAACTGGAAATAAGGAATCAAAGTAACGAAAAGAGGAATGCAAAAAGATACCTTGTTGCGGGACAAACTTGAAGACTTTGCAATTGTATGACATAACAATTTCTTATCTGGTAGAGTATACACATCCTCATAGTACATATCGAGTATGTCGGCCAAACGCACCTGCAAATCGAAGGAAAGAAAAAGTTCAGCAGACATCTTCACTTCAAATTAAAATGACCTAGCAATTAAGGAAAAAGAAAAGGTCAAAAAAGAGGCGAAAGTACCATTTGGGAGTGGGTAAGTAAAACTTCCCAGGCTTTTGCAGCAGATTTGTTCCACCCTTTGAACTTTACGTCCCTAAGTTTACCTACATCAATTTCCAGCCTGTACGAAGGTACATATTCGCTTATCCAAGCACCGAACTCAGAACCACCCATCTTTTCCAGTTCAGAGTATGCAGGCGATGCTAACAGACTGTTCTTGAATTTCATCTCCTTAAGCTTATAGTTTGCTCTTTCTGCACTAAACTTTTCTAGCAGAACCTTGGCATTTGCAAGCATCTCATATTCAAGTAAGTTGTACAGAACTACAGTTGAATCTTGCGATACAATCTGTTTAGGTTCGCTAAACCAACGGAAAAACTTATTTGGTGCTCTGCTTGCTGAGTAGTGATAGAAGTTTCTCTCAGTGCTTTCAAGGGAAGCAAGGCAAATAACTTCTGCAATTGCAGAAATGACTCCTTCATCCACTGAGGTAAGGGTAAAAGATGCAGGTACCTGCCCATAGGAAAGGTAATAAGAGAACTCAATCCATCAGTATGAGGAGGCACCTGCAGAACAGAAACATTAAATATGATTTCACAACAAAGTAATGAGGCCACAAGGCAATACTCGTAATCCGGTAGGTGGAGGCAGAGAGAGAGAGGATACCTTACCTCTCTTGGTTTTTCAAGGTTGTCCATGTTTCTTTCTGTTCCAGGTCTAAAAAGTGCCAGTTCAAGATTCCAGAGTTGTTGTATTACTACTTGTCTAAAGGTCATGGCAAGTATATTCTTCGAAGTCGTACTGGATAACATATCTTCGGTCAGAGAGCTCTTGAGTTTTATAGCTTTCTCTTTAACTCTCCGAGCTGGTAAAAACTGGCAAAATAACAAAATAAGAAAGATGATAATGAAAGAAAAAACTAAGAGAAAGGACAGATATTCAGATATGAATTTGTCATCTTCTTGGTGATAAGAACAACAATTGCAACTGATCCAAAATAAAACTCACTACTTAAAAAATAAATAAATAAAAATCAGCTGAATAACCTGCTCATTATCAACGTTAAGGCTAAGAAAGGAGGAATACTTAGGAAACTTTTCACAATATTTTTGCGTACAAAAGGAGACTAGGATTCAATTTCCTGGAAGAGGATAAAAATGTTGAGTACTCATTACCTAGTAAATGAATTATTCCTAGAGTAAGCAGAGCAGAAACATAGTATAGTAATGTTCACCTGCTAAGAATCCTAAGATGTAATCAAACACAAAGCATTCTCAGACATTAGTTGTGAAATCATTCTCCCAGCAACGCAAAACACCAAGATACATTGTTGTAATGCGTTTAAGCTATTTTTTACAGCATCGACTGAATCATTATGATTATAAGAGAACGTGATACCCTGTAAGATATGTTTTAAACGTTAGCCATTCAATTAACTTCATTAATTGACTGTGTTCTATATAATAAATTTGATGTCATTTAAAGGAATCTAAAGAGGAAAAAGAACAAGAATTTCCATACTTCAACTACTAGCAATATACTGAATTAACTACAAAAACAACAATTATTAACTTTCCAGTAAATTCATCTTTCACACTTACCAGTCTTGTAGAAACAGCACTGTGCTCATCACCATTCCCGGGAAACACAGTCTCGACAACCATTGCAGGTACGCCAGCAGAGACATGTTCATCGGCGGCTTCTCCACCGTCAGCTGCAGCTGCAGTGAGCGCCTGCTGGAAGTCGACGGAGCCAACGAGGGTTAGCCGAGCCAAGTCGTTCTCATAGGTCCTGACGGCCGGGAGCGACTTCTCATTTGCGTCAGCGTCGGCTACCGCTTCGAGAATGGCTTGTTCCGAAGTGAATCGGGAGAATGGCCTGTGAGAAGAGAAGGAGAGTATAGAGTGGGGATATTTGTAGGGTTTGAGGGGTAGCATGGGGAGAAATGGAATTGAGGGTTTGAAGGGAAGAGAGTGGAGGGAAAAGAAAGTGGGTGCAGAGAAAGCCATTGAATTTGCAGGTCGAAAATGGAAGCTCAGCTAGGTTTTATTTTTTGAACCAAGAAGCGCATTTGAGTAGAGAATATGGCTTTTTCCTTATACCCCTTCTTAAAAATTGACCCAGTCACATTAATTTTTTCATTTTTATTCTTTTACTCATTTTCATTCGTACATTCTTCAATAAAATAATATTTTTCGTCACATCAATGACTTTTCATTTTTTATTTAATCATATATTTCCCATCACATTAAAAAAAAAAGCATTCTTGACTAAAAATGTGCACCAAACAAAGACTAGATCTTTGTGTCTCTTTGTATTAGACTCGATTTTCTATCTATAAATAATGGACGAGTATTATTGCTTAGCGGCCAATGTGGCAACATGTTACCACACATGTACGGTTAGTTTTTAAATTTATTTTTCAACCATCGATGTGGCACACCACGTGTTGTCAAATCAACGATGGGTAACGTATCTTCTGCTCAAATCAGCTATGTTCTTTGTATTGTTATTGTCAACATTTCAATAACTAGCATAATTTTTCGCTCAAAAATATTTTTAGTATATTTTAAAATGAGGGATAAATAGATGATTTTCATCCCAAAAATATTATTAATGTGCTTTATAATAAGGGATAAATATTTAAGTCTTAATTTCTTATTCGTTTTTTCTTTGGCTTATTTAAAAAACAGTTATGCTATATGTACATCACTTACATATTAGTTTGCATACACATAATTTGATGAGATATGATTGCATCAGAATTTCTTTAACCAAATAAAAAAAAAAATCCCCACTATCTTCCCACACCTCATATATCTGTAAAACTTGTTGTAACTCCTTATGTACAAGTAGAATTATTTTTTAAAAAACAGTTTTGTTACATATACAACATCACTTGTTAAAATCATTATTCTTAATGTACAACACGTTTGACATCGTGCGATGTGCATGAAAGCTTCTTTCTCTTTTTTTTGATGTTGAAGTTCATTGCATTAGCGACATCATGGGGTTGTTTGTTTCTGATTCTTAAAATAAATTCTTATTTTTAATCGTACATTCTTCAATAAAATAATATTTTTAATCACATCAATAACTTTTCTTTTTTTATTTAACCATATATTTCCCATCACATTAAAAAAAAAAAAAAGCATTCTTGACTAAAAATGTGCACCAAACAAAGACTAGATCTTTGTGTCTCTTTGTATTAGAATCGATCTTCTATCTATAAATAATGGACGGGTAATATTGCATATCGGCCAATGTGGCAACATGTTACCACACATGTACGGTTAGTTTTTAAATTTATTTTTCAACCATCGATGTGGCACACCACGTGTTGTCAAATCAACGGTGGGTAACGAATCTTCTACTCAAATCAGTTATGTTCTTTGTATTGTTATTGTCAACATTTCAATAACTAGCTTAATTTTTCGCTCAAAAATATTTTTAGTATATTTTAAAATGAGGGATAAATAGATGATTTTCATCCCAAAAATATTATTAATGTGCTATATAATAAGGGATAAATATTTAAGTCTTAATTTCTTATTCGTTTTTTCTTTGGCTTATTTAAAAAACAGTTATGCTATGTGTACATCACTTACATATTAGTTTGCATACACATAATTTGATGAGATATGATTGCATCAGAATTTCTTTAACCAAATAAAAAAAAATCCCCACTATCTTCCCACACCTCATGTATCTGTAAAACTTGTTGTAACTCCTTACGTACAAGTAGAATTATTTTTTAAAAAACAATTTTGTTACATATACAACATCACTTGTTAAAATCATTATTCTTAATGTACAACACGTTTGACATCATGCGATGTGCATGAAAGCTTCTTTCTTTACCAGAAATGCGACCATATCCTAAACCTAATGAAGACTACTTCAGTTTTCAGTACAGATTTTAAGTTCCTTCAGATCTATATCCATGTCAAGCTACAGTTCTCGATTGTCTTATCGTGTTCAAGACGTGAAAATTTACCATTTTATGAGTCAGCAAAAACCACACCAAAGCCCCCAAATAAAGGAAAAATAGGGCTGCAAGAGATGCTCAGCTTAGCTATTGATTCTGTGCAGCGATCAACTACAAATATAACAACACAGTTTTCCATTCTGATGACACCACCATCGAGAACTACCGATACAAGTCCAACGCCAAAATTTAGAAAGCAAAGTCAAGTCAAGATATGCATTTCATATGATTATCAGTAATGGCATAAATGTCTGCTAATATTTTCAACCTTCAACTACATACGCTATATCCCAAGTGCATTCACATGTAGCCATCTTCGGCAAATGCCGCTGTCTACTAAGAGTTAAAACATGGTCCAAGATAAAAAGTCAGTTGTGCACCGTATAGATGACAATAAACTATTTATGCCCGGGAATCTGAGATCTCGAGATGGGAACTAGAACCGGGAAGGACCAGAAGTGAATAATAAGTAAAAACTTGAAAACTCCACTCCTTGCCTTATGGCCCAGTGGATTGATTGAATGATGTAATGATATACACTACAATGACAAACCATCTCTTATCCCAGATGCATCAATGTCTTCCTATCAAGTCAAATAGTAGCCATTCAAGTTGTCAACGAGATAATAATCGAATCCTTCCTCTGTAGGCTCTATTGCATTAGAAGTGGAATAAATGCCACCAGTTCCATCCTTCGTATTCACCTTTCCACATCCCTTAACAGGGCGCTTGCTGACGGGTGGCAATTCAGCGGTCAGTCTTCCCATTTGCTTCTGCAGATCAGCCACAGAATCATTACATGATTTTCCTTTAGGACTCTTTTTCCCATCAACTCGCTTGACTTCCAATCTATACAAAGCACAAGCATCATATTTGTTGATTTCATATTCATAAAGGTGCCACTCATAATTTTCCATGGGTTGTGGGTCCATATAGTAGGATCTCTTCAAACCTCCAAATTCATTCATCACTTGCTTCCTCGACTCATGCCAACCACGTCCATTATAATCAGGCAATGATCGTTGCTTCCTGTTACCACTCTCAAACGCTCTGCGAGGCTTGTCAAAGAACAGCCATTCCCTGATTGTTTCACCTTCCATAATCACGAGATCAAATAGCTCTGACGAACCCAAATAACAAAATCAGTCATTACAATGAAATTGGAATATTCTTCTATCTGCCAAAAATGATTAAGGTATAAGCAGGCATAGAAAAAAAGGCAGCAAGAAAATACTAACCAGATGCATTCCAAGGGGATTTTGCAGTAGCAGCACCTTCACATTCTGGAATACCAACATCTTTTCCTTGTGATTTTGCACTAAGAGCAGAAAATAGTAAGTTATCCTTTAAGCCAATTCCTCCAGGTCGTACGACTGGAGGCATACCCGGGTAGCCTTCTGTAGGTGCAAGCCCAGAATGATAACTACTGCAGTAGTCATTCGACTTTTGACACCAGTCTGACCCTTGTGCAGGTCTGGGACAATCCCAAAGGGCACATTTTGGCCCTAGGAAAGCAGAAGGTGGAGGGCAAATATTTTGTGAGTAGCCAGAAATATGAGGCAAAGCATCCTCCCCAACAAAACATGTGCTGTCAAACCCAGGGAAGTAGTGCTGCTCAAAGTCTTGATGAAATTCGAATGGATGATATTCCAATTGTGTTGCGGGACCAATTACATTAATCCCCATATCGTTAACTCCTGGACCCATGCTTTTGCACTGGTCAACCATCTGGATGCTTTGTTCTTGAGGTCCCTTGGGTAAATTGAAACACTGCCACAGATCCAAATAGAAGAACGAACTTCAGCCAATGAAAAACATTTTGAAGTTCAAAACAGTGAAGACAGCACAAGACATGCTTATTATGTTTCATGAGCAAACAGAGGCAATATGAAACAAACTACTAGTTTAAACTTCACAATACAAAGAGATCAACTGGAAACCATGTAAAAAGAAAATAATTGATTACCTCATAGTGCATGCGAAAAAAGGGAATTAAAACACGAATACCATAAGAATGATAATCATTTATTGGAGAGGGGAGATGTTCCTCTCATAAGAGAACAAGATACTAAGAAGCTGGGATAACTATTACCGTTCACTAGTAAGGGCCTCGGCTAGAATCATTTGGAAAATGAAAATTTACTTGATTTCTGCGAACGTGTTCAACAAATTGTAAGAAAACTGAATTCCAGAGAAACGAATGGTCAACCAGTTTGTGAGCAAAAGACCTCAGCCAGAGTCATGCAGAAAAATGAAACACTACTTAATTTCCATCTAAATACTCAATAAATCAAAAGAAAATGGGATGTTCAGGGAAGCACATAGTGAACCAGTTAGTGCTTGTTGAAGGGAAAAAGAGATGAAGTCCAAGGGAGGGATCTGTTTAATGAATTAAAAGGCTCACTTCACACAGGAACATGGCTACCAGCTGGAGAAACTACAGAGGAAACAAAAGAAATTGCAAATTCAACAGGCCATTAAAAAGAATTTCTGCCCAATTAATAAAACCTGGTAAGCTAGCCATCACAGTACATTCCATCTGGTTGGAACGCAACATCAATCTTAGCAACTACGAGTTTGTACCATTAAGAAACAGAAAACCATACTATAAAAGATTTGTAAGTTATGGTGAGAGAAATATATATAGCATACTTTGAAAATGAAATTACATGTAGGAGAACAAGATAGCTGATGGCGAACATAGCATTATTCTTACCACAGATAGATCATATATATAAGTGTGCATAATTCGTGTAATATAAAAACATAACATCCAGAAGAAAGTTTTATTTTGGGAAGGCCACCACTACACAGACCACACGTGAGGAAAAACTTCAACGAGGCAAAAAGCGTTTAATCACATATGAAATATCTATAGCATAGTAGTTGCACAATATTTTTTAAATGATATACTAACTTGCGGTCGTAGTAACCCAAAAAAGAATGAAACAAAAAATCTAATAAAAAACATATCTATAGAAAGTATGCATTTCCCAGCATGCCCCCACAACAATACAGGGAAAAAGAGAACGAAACAGCGATAAAGATAGAAAATGAAAACTAAAAGAAACCCAGCAATCCCAAATTATAATTGACAAAAGCTTTCTTCTAAGTTTGGCAATTTTGTTCCTTGATAAAAAGAAAGTTAATAGTAACGAAATAATCATTGTTAAATATATATAACTCCAAACTAAAGTAAAAGATGATACCACCTCTTGAGACATAGACCCCTCCATGACTTTTTGCACATCAGGCTCCGGCTTTGGTGCAGCTAATGCACTGGTCGCATCATCTTCTTCCTCACAAAGCAGCAGCAGCCTACAAATATCTGGTGAAAATGAGCCCAGACTCCCTCCCTACATAAATCATAATCATCATTCAATACTGCATTTCAAGATTCCAGTTCTTGTGTCCATGAAACAATATTACGCCCACTAAAATAGTCATTCACAATTGCATTGCATGGCAAATATTGAAATGCACAGACGTGTATCCATTATCCATAAACATCATGGACCCCCAACCATATGTAATTTTGCTAAGCAGAACTTATATTTTCACACACACAAATATACTAAACATCAGAATGCTACAACACGCATACAGATACTTAATTATCACTAGATCAGTTTCCCAGATGTTGAGAAATACCTACACTCAATGACTCCACAGTAAAAGGGCATTTCAATTAAAAAGCTTTACCTAACAACAAGTCAGGAGTTTGTGCTGTATATATTCACCTTTAAAGGATAGGAATATATCTTTCTTGAATTAAAAGAGGCACAAATGTTACAGCTACCTGCTGCAGTGATGTAGCTGGGGAGGCCTCATTCAGCTCGGCCTTCCATTCCCGAAGCATCTGATGAACTTGCTCTTCAAGCACAGCAACATCAATTGTGCGGCTCTCCTTCCTGGCAGATTGCAGATTGCTGAACATACCCTGCAGATCGTCCACACGATTTTTTGCTTTGTCCTTGAAGAGACTATGTGATGCAGAATTGCATGGACCCCTCTTTGAACCCTTCCCCATCAAAGTAGTAGGAAAAAAACCCCTCAGATCTCCACAATCACCTGCAAGGGTGGCAAAACAGTCAATTTACAATTAAAATCCAAAAAAAAAAAATTAAAAGATCAAAGGCAGAACAGATGAGGCTCGGCCGCCTCAACCCACAACAAATAAAGGGAAAATCTGAAAGCCTACAAAAATTACAGAATAAAGAGGTTGTAAGAAACTAAATCGCAGTAATTTTAAAGCAAAATGGCAATACAAAAGTGAAAAACCCACACTCACGTATCAAATTACCCTGAAATTGCAGAGACCCAGACTCAGAAACCAAAGTAAGACCCTAAACTAGCCACTTCACCAAGAATTTACTTTTGGTCAAGATCGCGAAAATACAAACTAGAATTTTCATGAAACACTCCTAAAAAATAATAATAAGGCAACGTAGGTCGGTATTTAAAAAAAAACCATTATTACCGAATATTTATTTACTAAAAATCGCGCATTAGAACACTGATTTGGAAGCAAATCAGAGTTGATTCTCCAAAAATTTAGGGTTTTCAAAACAGAATGAGATGCTAGAGCTGAGCAAACCAAAATATTATAAACTTCAAATCGAAACCAGAATCACCGAATACTTTTTGACTAAAAGTCGATCATTATTCCACGAAAAGTAAAGCTAAAGAACAAAGTGTGTGCTGTCTGTGCATGTGAGTGAGAATTCGAGAGATGGCTATTACCTTTTAGAATTGGAAGGAGTGGAGAGAGTAATCAATTCAATTGGGTTTTCAATGAATTTTCTCTCTCTTTGTGGTGGCAATTGGCAAAGGATTGTATGCGCAGAGGGGTTAAAGGCATATGTATACGCGGCAAAAGCAGTGAAAGAGAGGGAGAGAGGTGGGGATTGGGGTTGGTAGGTGCATATTGGTGTAGATTGCCAATTTTACCCTTGAACTTTTGTGTTGGGAGTTTTGACCGACCTCTCCTTTACTTTATGGCATGTTTGTCTAATCGTTTAATTACAAATGACAAGAGTAAATTTAGGCCATGTTCGAACCAAATTATTGTAGAATGAGAATGAAAAATATAGTTGTTATTGAGGCCCACATAAGAGGTGGAAAATTTGAATTTAAATGTTGATGTGATGGATAACGATCATATTTTTCATTTTAATGAAATAATAATGTAGATCAAACGAGAGTTTAAAATGAGTAAGTTAAACAATTTAGCCCATGTTTGATCCTCATTTTTCATCGAACTTATTTTCAACTATATATTTCATGGAATCCACGACTTTTTATTTACACATTTCAATGATTTCTTCAACTTTCATAAAAAATCTATTAAACATCTCATTTTTATCTAAACCAAACAGAGACTTAGTTTCCATTATTAAGTAAAATCATGGCTTCTGCCTATATCCTTGCGCATTGACAACATCGCCTTGTCCCTCACTTTCTTCGGTGAAAATGGAGAGTGGCGGTGGCACGGCATGGCAAGGGTAAAGATTGGTTAGGAATTTGGGTGGCAATGGCTAGAGGTTGGGATTGTCATGAAGATGATGGGTTTTCCTTTTTCCTTCTTTATAGGTGAAACAATATTCGAACAATATTACCTTGTTCAAGTAAGTGAATTGCACATGACAACTTAGTAAAATTTCGGACAAAAATCATCATAGTACCACGGGAACCAAAAATTAAAGGTTAGAGACAATATCGTTTAGAGACAAAAGTTGAGCACAAAAATACAAAAGAGGGTAATGATATATTTTTTAGTACTTCAACTAAATTAGGTTATAATCTTTGAATAAGTTGTCCAATAGTTCATTAAAATGCCCCATTCGAATAAGGAGAAAAGAAAATGATGAGGGCAAGAAACGAATAAAGGTACAGCCACTAACAACAACAGGATTCTCCATCGTCAATTCTTGATTCCTCATTCGAGAGAACATAATTAAAAGGAGAAATTATGTCCAATACACACAAGTATTTATTTAGAGATAAGAAGCATCTTTACGCATTAAAAAAAAAGGCCCAACATCTTAGATTTCATGATAACTATTTAGTCGTTATAAGATCTTGACAATTTGTTTCAAACAACATAAACCCGTTACATTATTAATGTTTTAGAATCTTGCATCGAATAGGTTCGTTAGTCATCACAATTCAACCAAACCAAATTAGCATGTTATAATTGGTTTGCAGTTTAGTTCAATCGATTCTAACTCTGAGGGATTATTCAATTGGTGAGACCTTGAGTTTGCTCCTCAATAATCACTAGTTGGAGTCCTCTCATGACCACTGAGGTGAGTATACGGTCGTAAACTTTAGGGTCTCGTGGAATTAGTCGAGGTGCGAGCAAGTTGGCCCGGACATCCACGTTTATACAAAAAAAAAAAGCTTAGTTCAATCAATTCTATTTACTTGTATCTATGTCTAGTTGGAGATAGAAATTTTGACAAATACGTATGAAGTATAAGTCATCTCGTCCACTATAGAATTATGTTTTTGGTACATTCTTTGTTGACATTAATATTGACGTCATTCTATGTATAGAAAATCTAGCCATTAATTGAAAAAAATATTTTTAAAATCAATATATACAAATATGTCAAATCATGTGACTGTCAAACTTGATGTACATGTAGCATGATAGTTCACCAGGACCTCCTTACAAGGCTGCTAGCTATCTTTACCTCCGGGTTCATTCTAGTTATTTATTGTAGACCACCAACAAAAGGAGGATAAGTCCTTCGGTCAGCAAAGTGAAATTTCTCTAAAACCTTAGTGGAATTGCTTTATTTGTGACGGACCGTTAATTTAGTTGAATGGTTGGGGCTAAATCCCTAATATCAGTTAGAATTTTGTGGATGTAATTTGTAATATATCCAGGAAAAAAAAAACCTTATTAAAACCGAAAAATCAATGGTTTTTCTCTTCATTCAACTTCCCTGTATTGTGGGTTTGAATTCTATTCCAAACAGAACCTCTTCTCCCTGCAATTTTGATTCAGATACTATGCTTTCTTGAAAGAGTTTTCCACTTTGCCCCTTTTGGGTTTGATAAAATTCCCCTGTATATATGCTTTGCAAGAAATAGTTGCGTTGTTTCCATTGAATTCACATTGAAATGGCAGGAACCGTGTTCTTGAAAACCAATTGCTTTGAAGTTAAGCTTGAAGGGATCACATTCAAAGCAAAGGATTTTGAAGCTTTATGCACGATGGATTTTCTCTTCCCAGACGGAAAGATTTGGGATCGTCCACCGGTTGTTGGCCTTGATGTTATGTGCCATCCTCGTGATCCATCCGTTCTGTTGATTTTATTGTGCTTTGGTGTTGGTTGTGTGATCCTCAGGTTTCGTCTAGGGGACGAGTTGCCTCCTTCGATCCTCGAATTTCTTACCGATGAAAGAATTCGTTTTGTTGGCTTTGGTATTCCTGAGAAGAAAGATTTGTTCCCGTTTGAAGAATTGGGATTGACTAAAAGCAAAGTGGATATTGGTTACCTAGCTGCAGAAATTCTTAAAGATCCCAAGTATAAAAGACGGGAGCTTGCTGCTTTGGCGCGAAAAGTTCTTGGGATCAAGAGAATGACCGGCTTGACAGAGGCTTCGTCTTTTGAGAGACACGAGCAAATTAAATGCGCAATTTGTCAGCTTTTTATTACCAGCATTATTGCTATGGGATTGTTAGTTGCCAATGACAAGAAGAAATTGAAGGATTCACCCTCACCCCCGCCCAAGAAAAGCTCTTTTCTTAAGAATCTGAATTCTCTTTCTTTGTTAAAAGAAGGATGGTTCAAATTGCCCAAAGTTAAGAAGGAAAAACCTAAATACCAAGTTGAGGAGAACGACGAATACATGCGTGTTGAAATAAGAGAAACAGGGGATACGTTTGACGACAATAATGTTCCTGTCAAGACGAAATGTGAAGAGGATCCTTTCAGCAATTTTCTCATACATGCCAAAGTCATAGAAGATGGTTCGCGTTCCAAGGTTAAAAAGGAATCATCTGCTAATGATCTTGTTAACGATGAAGGTTGGAAGGGCGATTTAAGCGATTGTTCAAGAAAGGACGTCGTTTGTATGTCAAAAAAGCCCTTAAAAGGAATCTTGAAATGCCCATCTTCAGGTCTACTACGGAGTTTCTCGCCTCCAATGTCGGAGCCTGAATCTTTTCTATCAATATCAGAAAAACAAAAAAGTACTAGAGGTACATTGAAGAGAGCCAATTCCAAGGGGTGCAATGTAACCTTTAAGTGTCAGTAGCTATCTATTTATATAGCTTAACCAATTCTGTATGTACATTAAACTCCTGACTGCAGTGCTTCTGGTGCTGCTTTCAGGTCTTTCAGGTACTGTTCTAGTCACTGAAATTGTTGTGTACATTCTGATTCAGTTTTCATTTTCTTTTTTTACCTTTTCTATAGATTCTGTGAATATAATGAACTTTTCATCCGACGAACAAAAAAAGTGGTCTGTTTGGAAGATCCAATCCCAAAAAAACTTGAGTGCCCGAACATTGTTGAAACATCTTAAGCTATTGTATGAGGTTGTTCAACATGATATTAGATTGTGCAAGCATCTTGATTAGAAAGAACAAAGAAGGAAATTAGTCAACTCTTTCTTGAGCTATATCATAAACAGAACTTACTGCAATGTATCAATTACAAGTTTCTTATTTATTCTTCTACTAGTGTGGATCGTGCGTTGCACGATGCCCGTTATAATTTTTGCAATTCCAGAATTGAATAATAGCAAAAAATAACATGAAAGTTAGGCACATTTAAATTACACAATTTACAATTATGTCATCTTATCTTATAACTTCAATTTTTGTATACATTCACACATTTAGAAACACAATTCTACTCACACAATACCATTTAATACTACACATCCATTGTGGAGCCAGCTTCTTCACCTAGATTGGATTAGTCAATAAACATCAACATGACTCATGTCCGAGGATAAAGAACTTAACTATTATTCAAGGCCATCCAAAAATAAGCATGACTATCGAATAAT